AAAAAAAAAGTCATACTATAGCATGTCGTTTTTGGCAAAAAAGGTCACGTCTCAGAATGTCGTGAAATTGGGTCAGGACATTCTGAGACGTGACTTTTTTTGCGAAAAATGACATTTTTTTTTCAGTCCAAAACACATCATGTGTAATTTTTTAGGAAATACTTTTCTTCTTATGTTACTTTGCTTAATTGATGGTACAAAGAGGTCAACTACAAATAGAAAGTCCATTGGTGGACTTGAACCATGAACCTCCCACATGAAAGACAGAGAACTTGTGTCTGCACCATCTGAGATATAACGTTAACGTCTGAGTTTCTATTCATCATGATACAAAGAAGGTTTTTAGAAAACAAATGACATAAACTGGATTTGAACCAAGAACCTTCTGCATGAAGAAGCACCAGTCTTTCCTCTACACAACTATGTCCTACGTGCATTTCAGATTTGGTTTCTTCCTATCATGGTACCAAGAAACTTCAAGAGAAGAAACTGCAAAATGGTTCCAAAGATTGGATTTGAAGCAGGAAATTTCAAAATGAAGAAGCAGAAACATTTCCACCAAACCACAGACTGAAGTGGATGAGCAGCTCAACATGTGTTTGTCTTGTAGAGTCTGATGATCAGAGTCTTGTGTTTTATATTTAGTGTTTGGCTTGAAGTAGAGAAACAGCCACTAACAAAGTGAAACGGGACATTTCCAAGTATGTTGGGAAAGTTTGGGGACTTTATTTACTGACAAAAATAAAAATGTTTGGATGGATTGGATCCAGGGATCTTCTGATCAAAAGTCACTTTCTTGAACCTCCACACTATCAGGTAAAAGCATAGATGCTCCTTCTGGTTTCCAGTCTTTGTGCTCAACCTCCTGAAGCTGTGATGGAGCTGCATGGACATCACACAGAGTCAACACATCCTGGAAACTTCAGCTTGAGACGGGATGTGAGCGGCTCAGGGGTGGAGCTCAAAAAACAGAAAAAAACACACGTTGGACTCAGGAATGGAACTGAGCACCTTGTGGATT